GCCTTTCTCATGCATCACTCCAAGTACGTACAGGGGCCTTGTTTATCACCCAAACCAACCCAGACGCCCATCTGCAGTTTCCCCCTTTCCCTTCCAATCTTCTACTTCATTATCGTCTGCTTAACTTGGCTTCCTCCACTCCCTTTGTCCCCACACCAAAAACTGGAAAATTGGAAGATAATACAGAAAAGGAAATTTACACTGTCCAACTTCATTCACATTTAATGAAGACCAAAGCAGGATTTAAAATCACAGAATGTTAAAGGAAAAATAAAAAAATATTACCTGTGATCATCTAGGACCCTAGGCTCTTTTACAGGTGGGGAAATTCAAGTCCAGATAAGTGAATTACTATTGTGCAGTGTCACATAGCTGGCAAAACCATAAGTCAGGGCCCAATCTAATTGTTATTCCAACTGTACATAGATTTTGCTGTTGTTATTCCAACTACACAGATTGTTTTTGTGCTATGTAAATTTTTTTAATGCATTCAGGATCAAGTATTTTAAAAGCAAAATACAAGCGTAATGGTTAACAAAGCTTTGAGACGGTCTCCAACTTCACCACTTACTAGCTGTGTGACCTTGGTCAGTTTAGTTAAGCTCTCTGTCCTGACTTCATCACCCAAATAGAGAACCCAAGCCTCCACTTGCTGTTATAGGAACAAAGGGACAAAATATGTACACCACTCACAGCAAAGCCAGCCTGTCCACAAAAGCTAGCTATTATGATTTCAATAGTAAAACTATGCCCACTTTTGTAAATGATGAATAAAAGATTTGGGACATTGAAGATCATCTAGTCTGCCTGAGATTCAGATCCTCCCTTCTTAGAATCTTAAACTCCTTCCTATGGGTTTGGTATATCCTCCAAATATCCCTGAGATGGTTTTTCAAAGTCATAAAAGTAATGATAGAGGCACACAGGGGCAAGACAAAAATGAAAGTCATACCACACTATGCTCTTCAAAGGCCCTTGCTGACACAGGCAAATGCCGTAGTGGCCATGAAGGGCCAGAGGGAGGGTTTCCCTGGCCCAGGCTTCCTCCTGCCTTCGGTGAAGCAGCAAGCAAGCCCCGACTTCCAAGTGTAAGAATTCCATTCCACAACACAGGCCACCTCTGCTGTATAGAGCTGATTTCTTAATTTCCTTCATTTTTCTGGGTTTTTTCTTATTTTTTTGTGTAACCCAGACAAACACATGCCACTCATTTCTCAACTGCAATGACAGGCCGTGTGCTGGTCCTGTGGGTTACAAAGAAAGTGTGGAGACCCTGCTCCATGCAGTCTGGGGTTCTATGTACACTGAATGCCAGAGAACTAATTCTTTGTGTCCAATAACACAGAAAAAGGTGTACTTTCACATTTAACACAAATTGTATATTCATTCCAGACTGTGAAATCAACAAAACATGGGGAACGTGACTAATGTCAATGAACTCATATTCCACTACAGTTTCATTATTAACCTCAATATATACATTATAATATCCACTTGTACCTTTCGTTTAAAAAAAAATGAACAAAAACAATTGAGTTTAAATTTATTTCCACATTAAGAATAGGTATATAATGACTCGATTGATTTTGCTCTTTTTTTTTTTTTTTTTTTTGAGACAGAGCCTCAAGCTGTCCCCCTGGGTAGAGTGCCGTGGCATTACAGCTCACAGCAACCTCCAACTCCTGGGCTCAAGCGAGTCTCCTGCCTCCACCTCCCAAGTAGCTGGGACCACAGGCGCCCGCCACAACGCCCGGCTATTTTTTGGTTGCAGCCGTCATTGTTGTTTGGCGGGTCCGGGCTGGGGATTCGAACCCGCCACCTTAGGTGTACATGGCTGGCGCCTTAGCCGGTTGAGCTATAGGCGCCGAGCCCTGATTTTGCTCTTATAGTGGCTAGTTTAAAAACTTTTTCCTAAACAAGTTGAATTAATGGCTAGTGCAAAGGATTTGCTGAAAAGGACAAAGACCTTTCAGGGCTACTTCCTTCGGGAAACAATTATGAACTGCTAATATTTTGAAAACCAGAGACCCGCTAGCTTGAAATTTCTGGAAGCCTGCCCAAAAGAGATGGATTTAAGAATAACTACAATTCCTGTCTACCACTTCCGGCAAGAGGGATTCACAAAAATACATACAAAGGCTCTGAGCAAGAGAGTAGGATAGTCTTTCCGCTGTGGGTAGATACTAAACCACAAACTCTATTAGAGTTACAGCCTCTACCGACCTTAAGCCCAGGTCTATTTACCGCTGACCAGGACAGCCTGAAGGACTTTCCACATGTTCATCATTTCCTTGCTGATACACACACCATTGACAATAGATCACTCACAGAACTCCAAAACGAGGTGTATGTGGGCATTAACTGTAGTAAAGCTTGTAAGAGCAAATACCTGAAGATGATCTAAATATCCATCGACAGAATAATGATTAAATCGTGCTACATCCAGACAATGCAATTTCATTTGGTCATCGGAAAGGACGAGGGAGGTCTACAGGTACGGACATGGAAAGATAATTACAATGTACTGAGGAACAGAAGCGCAGTAATGTTTCTCAGGGGTCACCTTCTAGAAAAGACCACATGGATGTATTTGATTCAAGAGATCATTCTACTTATTGTTCTGTAGCTGTTTTTTTCTTTTTTTCCTCAGATGTGTTTGTTTACACATAAAAATAAATCTACAAATGACACTAAACCCCATCCCTGAGTAGGGTACGGGCGGATTTTACTTTGTATGTTTTAGTATTTGAATTTTTTAAACTAAAAAGCACATTCTGTATTTTAAAATTTTTAAGTTAAGACCAACTTTGGATTCTTACTGACATACAAGTGCATTCTAATTTCTCTTACTGTCTCCATAAAATATACTTTTTTCCCACAAACTATATTCTTTTTAGATCATATGAGAGTGATCAGTTGCCCACACTCAATGAAAGTATTAACACGTATGAATTCTAAACAAAAAGTTTTATGGTGTCACCAAAAATGATTTGAAATACAATGATGTAAAAATATGTCAAAGCAGGGTTTATTCACTGGGACATTATTTGTCTTTAGTAAAATGTATCACCCCTAGTCTATCCCCATCACCAGTAGACAGAGGCTTTTCTGAGTTTTTTTTTTTTCCTCCATAAGTAATTACTGTTTTTTCCTCCCTTCAAACCATAGTAATTTCCAGGCGTTCTAGTGTCCCACCCAGAGCCACTCCAGGGAGAAGCATCTTCAAAACCTCAGGCTCCCACCAAAGGAAATTATGGACAATCAGGGAGTCCCCTTTCTGGTCCATTCATTAGAATCTATCCTGTAATTAAACAATTAAAATAGCCTAAAAATTATGAATCACAGAGCCTCAAACATGCAATGCTAGATATTAAAGTTCTTTAAAACAGGAGAGCAGCTTTTAAAAAAAAGACATTCTGATGGCTTTTACAGAAAGCTGCCAATACGGCTGGCAAGGCCCACTCTATTACTACAGGAGAAGAAAACACAAATACCATTAACAGTGGTAAACATGGGCTGCACATTACATTCCACTTTATGGTTGTAGTGTCTGAAGTTTCTACGACAGACACACTTAAACTATGTAAGAGTTTTCTAAAGGGCTTTGAAAAATATACTAGTTAATATCCACACCACACTGACAAGTGGGTGAAGAGACCAGGGCTCAGATGTCTTTGTCAAATTCTCCTATGAATCCTTTTGAAACGTGACTGGCATCTTGCAAATGAAGAGAAATATTAACTCCCCTGGGAAAACCTCCCCCAATTGCCCAAGCTGGGTTAATTGCTCACTTTTCTGTATTTTCCTAGCACTCTGTGCTACCATGATTACCAAGCCAAACAGTATTCGTACACTAAAATTCCTTATTTACACATCTCATTTTCCCCATGCAATTGCAAGCTCTCCAGGACAAGGGGAGTAAAGTATTGACTTTTGTGCTCCCACAACAGTGCCTGAAATAAAAGGGGTTTGAGTTTGCTAAATGAAGGAGAAACGTCCTTGCTGCAAATGCATGCTACTATGACACACCTGTAGTAAGTGGATATGTACTCAGCCCCCTTGGAGGTACTCTTCATGTGCCTTAACGTCAATGGGACTGGGAACAATCCCCCAATATACACATTTTCCAGCATCACCACCACAATGAAGAGAACAGGCATGTAGCTGCCAATGCAACCGGAGACCCAGAAAGGTGAGACAGAGGCAGGAGTCAGTCTCTGCATTGGAATGAAAAGGCAAGTATCCCCTCTTTGAAAAGGTGACCCTTCAGTTACTGCTAACATTGTATTTCATAAAGATGGTGGTGTGTACAGGAGTATTTTCTCCTTATACCTTTCACATGTTATGAAAATCCTTTGTACAACTCAGTATTCACTGAAAGCATTAAATTGTTTTCAGAAGAGTTCCCTGTGTTTATGGATGCGATAAACATACTTTAAACATCTACTATGTTGTAAGTACTATGTTTGGGGAGTTCTGACATAAATAAGTCATAGTTTCTGGCTCAAGGGGTCTGCAGTCAGATGTTAAAAGACACAAATAGATACAATGCAGTGGGAGAGCTATTATAAAAGGGTTCCCTTTTTATGGGAACCCGGAATAATGGTCTGTCCAATCATCCCCACCACTTCTCATTCCACAAGGGAACAAGGAAAACCCCAGAACAAACCACATGAGGGGGAGAAAAACAGGCTGCGACCAAAGACGCAGCTCAAGGTGCCACAAGCAGCCCTTCATGGAAGTGATCACAAATCACACCAAGCCACCTCGTGTAAAAACAGTGGCTCCTTTTCTTTGTTTTTCATTATTCTTCACATGGGCTTTGTTATCTGAAAAACTAATTGCAACTTTTAATACACGGAAACCCGCAGTTAAAAAAATAAAACATGTGAGTCAGCTAAGCCCTGATAAGTTAAGCTGCATCTTCTTATGCAGCCGCCCAAGGGGAAGAGCCCACATGCTGAATTCAGCTAATGCTGGAGCGGCCTCCATCTGCTTACCACGTGTGTTGGTGGCCATGTCAGCCACTTTCTGAAAGGCATCCAAGAAGGCAGCTGCTGCTACTACTGTTGTCCTAAAATGCAAACAGATAACAAAAGCATGAGGAATGTCTCAAACTAGCAAATTCATTACAGCACAGAAGCTAAAACTTCTGCTAAGGAGTGAATGGAAACTTCCCGGACTGGACATGGCCAACCATCGCCTTGCTGCACCCACCTTCTTCCAAACACTCTGCCCTCATAATGGCCAGCTCATTTGGTAATGCTGGTAGTCCTTTCCATTCCATTTTACCTGACTGTATAAAATTATTATTAGACAAAATGTTACAAAGGAGAAGAAGGCAGGTGTTTCTACCCAAAAGAAAAAACATCAAAAATGTAAGCATACAGGATAGAGTAGGAAAGCAACATGCACACACAAACTGGGGGGAGGAGTTATGTATTTCAAACAATTCGTTTTAAGGATGGGAAAACTGAGGCTGCAGGTGCAAAGTGATCTTTCAGAGCCCTGGTTCATGCCAGAGTTGAGATTAGAACCCTAGCATTAAGACTCACAGGCCCATGCTCCACCCAAATCCAGACAAGATCCCAGCAGTGGGACTTTTCTCCCTAAATCCTAATTATAATGAAACAGATACTATTTTTTCGACTTTAGGATTCTATTTCAACTGTATCTTCCAAATTCCTAAAAGCTGAGAATGAGGAGAAGTTACTTATTTTATGTCCTAGAAAGTGTTTTGGATTCTCAACATCTTAGCACTCTAAGATGCCCTAGACACTCTGAGGTCTACTGGCTCCTGATGCCAAGACCTAAAACACCGTTCAGTAGAGAGCAGACAACACTCTAAACCAGGTGCGTGGATTGCACATAAACAAGTCCCAGAACTAGAACATGACACTTTACAAATGAACTGACAGCTAGATGCTAATTGTTAAGTACTTCTGTGTAAATCCAGTCTTTTCTGCATCCCAAGAATGCAAAGTTGCTGAAGGAAAAATAATAAGGCCTGGAGGGAAGAGTTCAAATGGGGAAAGGGAAAACAATGGCCTTTAAATATAAGCAACAGTGACTATGAAACAAAAGGTTCCTGGGAGCTACTAGCAGTGGCCCCTGAGACAGTCTGGGTGACAGTCCCTTAGAGCCAAACTTTAAAATGAGGCCTAATATCTTCCATTAGAGCCAGAAAACACTGTGCTCAGGTTTTTTTAAAATGATGACATACACACACACACAAAGCACTCTAAACATGTTTTTTAAAGAGTTGACATCAAATGCAAACCCTGGAAAAGATAGCTTTATCAAACACCCTGGAATAAGTCATTCTGGTTGACATTAATATCTGACACAATGGCTGGATGTATTCTAGCCCAACTCAGGGCCGGCCATCCAAATTTAATGAGCCAGCTGTAGAGGTGTCTTGTACATTACCCAGTCACCAGCGCTCCACTGAAAATTAGGATGATGGTCAATTCTGAGGAATAAAGGGCTTTCAAATGACAGTCATATTTCACTGTCTGATGTAGTCACAAGACATCTTAGCCCTCACTGATGGGGCAGAGCAAACCTGCAACCACCAGAAGCACAGAAGAGTAACTCAGCTTAAATACACCAAGAAGGCTACGTCTCTTCTGCAGTTGAAGCTTCATCCTTTCTCTGTACAGAAAATTAAGCCATGAAACCCCCCATAGGCTCTGACCCCTGCATCAGAAACTGGACAAAATAATAAAATAAATGGTCCCTGCTCTCAGGCCTGAGTATCATTTAATAATATAAACTGTACCTTGTACTAGTAGGGATAAGGTAAGTTTTACTTTGTATGTTTAAGACAGCTAATCAGTTCATTACATTAAGCTTTAGCATCCTCACTGGTAAAAAAGGCAAAGAACCTTTTTCCTGGCCTACCCTGAAAGCCTGCCAGATAATTAAATGAGGCCAAATAAGAAAAAGTAGGGAAACATGTACTTCAATGTTTTACTACAGTCCTACAGAAGGTTGCCTGCTCCTTATGAGAATCTAATGCCTAACGATCTAAGGTGGAGATATAATCCAATTAAATCATCCGGAAACCAACCACTCACTCCCCACCCAAGTGTGTAGAAAAACTGTCTTCCATGAAACCAGTCTCTGGTGCAAAAAAGACTAGGGACCACTGTCCTACAGGATGGAGACCAAGCTACCTGAAATAAATGGCTGTAGATGGAGCTGCATAAAGTGAGGCTCGTGAAGGCCACAGATGAAGAAAGAACCTTGAATCCTCAGCAGAGGAGGTGGGATCTGACCCAGCAGAAAGTAATCACTGGGTCCTAAGCAGAGAAATGGTAAAGGATTTGACAAGAGGGGAAGGCACTGTATTCCGGAGTCCAGTGTCCATCTGGAGGCCCACTCATGGCTCTGGACATCCCCAGTCTATGGATGGACATCCCAGGCCCACAAAACTGAAGGAATGAAATGAAAAAGATCTTTCCAAATTCTTCTCACCTGATCTATAGGTGAACAGTAGGGTCCAAGGGCAAAGGCACCTTTTTCAGGGTATGATTTGATGATTTTTAGTAAATATAGAGCTGTGCAACCATCACCACAATCTAATTTTAGAACATTTCCAGTGCCCCCCAAAAAATCTCTCTTACCCACTTGTAGTCAATCTCCTGTTCTATCCCTATTCCCAAGCCACCAGTAATCTACATCTGTATCTACAGATAAGCTTTTTCTAGAGATTTCATGTAAATGGAATTATACAAGAGTCAACAAGTAGAATGGAGAAGAAAGTAGACTGTGGAGTCAGACTTCCTAAGTTCCAATCCCTGCTCCACCACTGACTAGTGATATGACTATGGATAAGTTATTTAAGTTTAATGTGCCTCAGTTTCCTCATCAGCAAAATGGGGATAATAGCTGTATTTACCTCATGGGGTTGTGAGACTTAGGTTAACAAATGCCTGGCACATGGTGGGCTCTACATAAATGCTGCCCCTAGTTACAAACAGTACCTCATTTGACTCAAAACTCCTGTGAGAGCAGGCAAAGCAGATATGAGTCTAATTTTACACATGGGAACGAGGGGCTATGACAAGCTGGCTAGTAAGTGGTACTGCTCCAGTCAGAACCCACTCCAGGCTTCTCTGCCTGTGACACATCCAAAATGAACCCCAACCGACTTCTTGGTCCACACTCCATCCTTGTCTAAGGATGTTGCTGTTTTCCTGTAGAACACGCGCTTCTACTTACCGAAGCTGGGACTGCAGCTTTCCTGCCTTGTTTATGAAATCTTCCCAAACTGGATAGCTCCCCTACAACAAATCAAAGCCACGAGTAAGTCACACTGTGGTAGACATCGGATGGTGACATTAGCAGAACACCCAATTCCACGTATTCAGGGACAATCTGTGTATATTCTCTTCCTTGGTAGTATCTGTGACATGTTGCCCAAATTGTACAGACATGTATTGCCTCATAAATGGGTTTAGAACGTGCTCAGTCCCTGCCATCTTGTAAACACTACAATACTGGAACTACTTTGATGGAATCCAACATAGTAACCAAAGGTGTCCAACCTGAGACCCGAAGGCCATATGTGGATTATGTGAGGATTTGGGGGCTTATATGTGGTAGTGGATATCATAAAAATCATGCATGGATTTTTCTGTTGTTGTTCATCAGCTTTCATTAGTGTTCGTGTATTAAATGTGTGGCCCAAGACAATCTTTCAACGTGGCGCAGGGAAGGTTACACCCCTGAACGCTCTTCAGTCAGTAAGTAGACAACAGGTCCAAATTTAAGATGTACAGAACATTCAATGCTCTGTCCTAAATCACTTGCTCTTACAGCATGGCCCTGGCTGTTCTTGCCCTTTTCCCAAATAGTAGGAAGGAGAAAACCAGAATGACTGGGGCTCCTCTCCAGGACAGGTGGCTTTGGGGAAGCCTTATTAGACTATCAGGATCTCAGTTTAGAATGTTACCTTTAATACAGCCACTCAGCTGAAAAATTCAAACACACCATCTGCAGACAATATGAGAGCAAGTGGCTCCCAGCACACACTTCAGCTGACAGGGAACTCACCACCCTCCCAAAGCACCCTGTATTAACCACCCCATCCCTTGATGTTCAGACAGTTCTAATTCTAACCTTCTGGGAGCCCTCAGGGCGAGGCGTCCTCAAACTACGGCCCACGGGCCACATGCAGCCCACCTAGGACATTTATCCAGCCCACCGGGTGTTTTTGCCACCACTGCCTGTCCAGCTTAGCAGCCTACTCATCCCAGGGCCTGCAGTCCGGCCCTCCAACAGTCTGAGGGACAGTGAACTGGCTCCGTTTAAAAAGTTTGAGGACCCCTGGTTAAGACCAATAATTCTGCTTTCACATGAAAGTCTTTTCAAAACCCAATCCCATGTCAAATCTCATTTCACCACAGGACCCCGTTTCACACCCTCACAGTGTCCCATAGACACTCTCCACCATGTCTCTGCTCTTCTAAGTATGGTGCCCAGACATAAATCCTGACCGGAGCAAAGCTTCCTACACTTGTTAAATTCATATTAAGACTAAACAGCCCGGCTCAGCGCCTGTGGCTCAAGCGGCTAAGGCGCCAGCCACATACACCCAAGGTGGCGGGTTCGAATCCCCAGCCCAGGCCCGCCAAACAACAATGATGGCTGCAACCAAAAAATGGCCGGGCGTTGTGGTGGGCGCCTGTGGTCCCAGCTACTTGGGAGGCTGAGGCAGGAGACTCGCTTGAGCCCAGGAGTTGGAGGTTGCTGTGAGCGTGATGCCATGGCACTCTACCCAGGGGGATAGCTTGAGGCTCCGTCTCAAAAAAAAAAAACAAAAAAAGACTAAACAGCCCACCAACTAAGAGGTGATTCAAAATCGAACCAACAAGAGGAAAACTCTGGGAAGAGAAATAGTGTTTGGCCTGATCATTCACAGACCATTCACAGAACTAAAACGAAACCACCCCTACCAAGGGCTTACATTTGTAGAATGGAATATCATTCCATTTCAAGGTTATAAACCTTGAAAACGTAAAACTAATACATGCCACCTTTTGATTTTGTAGTTAAGAGGAAGAAGAAACTCTAAGGAGGTTAATCATCTATTTCCTACCAGATGCCCAATCAAAATCGTCTGAAACTGCAACCAAGATAACACAAAATGATTCCACCTCCCTAATGGTTTTAATCATCTCTGTTTCCTACCCTTTCACAGGAGAGTTTCTTAACTCCAGCAGTACTGACATCTGAAGCCAGATAAATCCTTGTCATGGGGGGCCGTCCTGCACATTGTAGGACGTTCAGAGGCATCTCTGCCCTCCAATCGCTAGATGCTAAGACCCCTACCCTCTAGTTGGGATAACCAAAAATGTCTCCAGATGTCAGATATCCCCTGGGGGGGAAACTCACTCCCAGTTAAGAACCACTGCCTTAGAGGCACATTGGAGAAACTAGTTTCTTTTGGTAAAGAAACAGTTATCTGAAGCTCAGCAATTTCTTCAGCATTTCCTCACTTCAGTTTCATTTTCTTCTGACAAATTAAAGCAAAATTAAATACGTTTTTTATTTTTAAAATGTCATGCATAGCATGCATCATAAGGAATACTTAGTTATAAAATTGCCTATTTATATACTTCCCTAGCTTATCAATTCTGTCTGAAAATGTACATACAGAAATCTGGGAAACTGCCTACCAAATATTAAAACGGGTTATTTCTGGGAGCTAAGATCTGGCCCGATGTGGTGCTTTCTTCTTTGTACTTTTCTCTATGGCTAGAGTTTTGTATTTTCTTTTTATAAGGGTCATGCATCATTTTAATGAAAACAATAAAGTCACTGCACAAAAAAATTTAAGATCAACTTAGGGGTTCTGGCAACAACAGCACAATGAATTTACAATCTACCCAAAGCCTACAGTGTGTTTCACACATGCTGCTAGATCACATCCATCAGTTCTGCATTTGTGCATTTGAGACCTGCCTGGCCCAAGTGCAGGTCTCTGGATTTATTCCTCTAAGTGGCAATGTGCTCCCATGGGACACTAAGCTGCACAGGGCAGAGACCCTGTCTTACTGCCTCCTGGCAGAGGCCTTTTGGCAGCTCCACCTGAGTCGCTGTCAACCAACAACCGTGTACAGGACTTGTCAACACATGGTCTCCATCCTGGGTTTGTGTCCAAGGGGCTTCTTCAACAGCAGACCTGTATATTAACTTAGATAAATGAAATCTTGCAAGAACTCAGGCTACCCCCACTGGTCCATCCAGATATCGTGGGGAATCCTAATTATGGCACCTGATATGCTTACCATTATCTCATCAAGTCCAGATAGAACACTCTTTCTACATCTACATCCAAGTATTAAAGAGATAAGAGTGAAGATTAGAGTCCTCTGGCTGGCCACTCGAGATCTCTGTCCAGAGGGACAACAGTTGGCATCCTTAAGAGCACAAAGATTCAGGCTGGGCACAGTGGCTCACACCTGGGAGGCAAGGTAGGTAGATTGCCCGAGTTCATGAGTTGGAGATCAGCCTGAACCAGAGTTAGACCTCATTTCTAAAAATAGCTGGGAGTTGTGGCAGGCGCCTGAAGTCCTAGCTACTCGGGAGGCTGAGTCAAAGAGAATCCCTTGAGTCCAAGAGTTTAAGGTTGCTGTGAGCTGTGACACCACAACACTCTACTAAGGGTGACAAAGTAAGACTGTCAAAACAAACAAACCAAAAAAAAGCACAAAGATTCAACTGGCCAATAACAGCCTCATCTGGCCATTCCTTCTCTTTCTGAGCCACAAGACATGATGAAAAGCTCTCTGAGAGCCAGAGCATATTCAGAAACATTGCCCACCTACTTCCAGGCAAAGCTGCCATTAGCTCTTGTCAACACAGGGAGAAGGACAGGAGGGCCAGACCCTCTTCTCCTAAATAGCAACCATTGCCATCCAGGTAGCTCTGAAGAAGGTCATTGAGATGATCAGTAACAGTTCTTAAGAAAAAGGGGAGACATATTCACTGAGAACACACAGGACTGTCTGGAGGCCTGGGCAGGGAGCACCAAACCCTGAGGTCTAGTCACACAAAAACAAATAATTCCATCACTGTGAACCAACACTACCAATTACTGAACACTGCAAGACTGGGGGAAAGCAATAAGGAACACAAATTCAAGAGTCCAATCTCCTGGATGGAATCTTAGCTCTCCCATGTGCTCTGTGACAGTGGGCAAGTCATTTGACCCCTGGATGGGGCTAAGTCACTATTTCACAGAGTTGGTGTGAGGAATACACAAAGTCACACACAAAAAGTGCTGAGAGTACTACCTACCACACATCAAGTGCTCAATAAACATTGGCTATGAGGATGTTTGGGGGAGGGACGTTAAAAACTAAATCAGACTACGCCTTGGATCTGGAATCTCTCATTCCTAGTCCTAGGTGTAGAATCTGCCAACCCGGGAAGCATTCCACACCTCCCTATTAGTCAACCACAGTTAAACAGAAACAGACCGAGGCAGCGGGTGCACTGTATCAAATGAGCTGTCTGCCGCTCTTAAGCAAATCACAGGGTAGAGTACTCGGCCCCAAGATGAATGTGCCTAAAACCGACATCTGCTCAAACTACTTAAAAAAACACTTATCTGCCCCCACTTGGAGCCTCATTTCAATTTTTACCAAATTAGCAACAAAAGGAGGGTCCCCTCTCGCCCAGGGGTACAGCACACAGCTTCCCACCTACGAACACCCACCCAGCCAGGGGCAGGCCGCCCAGAGCAGTTCTCTCCTGACTTACTGATATCTGACAGTCTATCAGAACGTGTCAGGCCCACCTGTTTTTGGTAATATATAATTTAATGGATTCTAAAAAAAGAAAAGAAAACCAACTTCTAAGAACATAAGACAAAACCCTCCTTGTTGAGAAATAAAAAAAGAATGTGTAAGCGTGATTAAAATTTAAAGGCAAGGTGGCGTTGGGTTGTTCCAGATTTTTTTTTCTAAGTTTCTTTCAAGGAAAAGAAAGAAGTATCTACCCACCTGAAAGGAGTACTACAAATATTCAGAAGCTTGGAGGAAGGAAGGAAGGAGGGAGAGGGTAACTATAGAAAAATTAAATGGCAACAGAGAAAAAGTCCTGGATTTTTGACTGCAGGGTCCTGTAAAGGAGACCATACTCAAGTTTCAAAAGAAACCTGCAAACATAGATGCTGGATGAGCTTGGAACCCTTTGAGAAAGCGATTCCCAGATAGTCCTTAATTGTCCCCTCCTGCCCCCACCTACCAAGCAGTCCCAGAAAGCTCTTCCCTGA